ATGGTCAAGAAACATTAAGCAAGTAACAAAAAAAGGTAAAGTGAAAATGTGAACTAAAAGTGGAATTTATTCATATTGAATTAATGGTTCTTCAAATGGTTACTAATTTTCTTTTAAAGAACGGAACTACTCATAGCCCTACCTTTTTTCTTAACAGTGATAATTAAAAAAATCACAAAGTGATTTTTATTAAAGTTTATCTTGTGTATCTGTATTAATGTAGAATCCCCTTGTTTAGATTTTATTTATCATAAAAAGATAAAAATTAGTTGAGGTTTTAATTTGCTAATCTTGCATATCGAGACCATCATCGTACCAACCTCCTGACCGGGTACTAGTTTAGGATGGGTTGGTTGATTCGTGATTCTGAATAAATAATTAGCTAATTCTGATATGATACTAGAAGTGGATGCATGCATACCTGTAATGAGTAAAAGACATAAGAAAAACTATTCAGAAATTTTCTAGGATCATAAGAGATGATTGTAGATGATTATTGTATTAAGAATGAGTTAAAAGTCCACATGATCCGTGATTTTAAAAATCTATAAGAATGAATGAAAATTTGAATACACAATAAATTTTTTTGTCATAAGAAAACTTATATTAATCTTGAAAAAATCATCCTCCCAACAACATCGGAGATCCAATCCCCTCTCTAGACTCCTTAAAGCCAATTGGTCCCCACACTCTTTGATCGGATATAGAGTAGTCCACCCCAAATAGAAAAAGACTAAATGCCGAACATGTGAGAGCTTTGAAGCTATTAGCGACCAAAACAATCAGATTGCTTCCCAACAAAAAACTATGTAGCAAATAAATAAATAAAAAACAAACTTACTAGTTACTACCCATAGAGTTCGAAACGACCAAGACCACAATGTATGTAAAAAACATTCTAAAACGAAATAATCATAAATAAATAAAATTAAATTGATGGTGCTCCCCCACTTCAATCTCCTCCGGGTAAGCTTGCTTGATCCTTAGCTTGTCTCCTTCTCATTTTTTGATTCCACCTTCATGTCAGTGCAAAATGGCTCCTCCTCCTGCTCTATTCTCCTACACTTTTGCTCACTATTATCATCTGCATTAACATGTTCCTTTCCCTCAATAGAGCCACCTTGACCTTGAGGAATTGATGTAGTTGTTATCCCTACGTTATCCTTAGTTCGTTCTTTCCCAACTGGAACTAGCCATTTATCTTCTTTTCCCACCTGTCCTCTCCCTTTTGTAGCCCTAAGCCATGGTCCAAAAGGATTCCTCCAACTCTTCACACATTTCTCAAAATTGCAAGGTCAGTATCTCTCAGCATGCCCAATGATTGCACACAAGAAACAAAAGTCAGGCAATTTCTCATATCGAAAAGTAACGCCAAAAATCATTCCTTCATCTTTTTGCAAAAACAACTTTCTTTTCAAAGGTCTGTCGAATTCTAGACTAACTCTTATTCTCATGAATGGATTCCATTTCGCAGAAAAATTATACTCATCCTTCTTAATATATTTCTCCACAAAATTACTAATTCTCATCGCATTATCCATAGTAAAATATCCTACTGGAACATCATGGATCTGTATCCAAAAATCAATTATATTTAGGGGAACCGCCAAAGGTAGGTCCCCTTCCTCAAGTTTGCATAGGACAATAAGGTTTGATAAAAAATCCATGATCCTTCCTCGGAGCATATTATTTTCAGATAAAACTGAAACATATAACATCTAGCCTCATCCCCCAACTCAGTTGTACTAACACCATAGTATCACGAAACATAGAAAAACATATCGATTTTTGTGATCTAATGGTCTCTACTAGAGATAGACCCACATCCCCAACACAAAAGCCATAGCTTCCACCAAGAAAATTTCTTCCTCTACCTTCATCCATCTCCATTCGTCCATATGTGTTTGCCAACAACGGTTCGTGGTTATCATCCATCGTTGCTTTTTGATAGCCGACTTCCTCCTAGCTGCTCATTGCACCTTTGGTATTTTCTCGACCGTTCGGGGGTGCACCCGTTGCTGTCCGCCACTTGCCATCCTCTTTTTTCTGAAAGAAATTGTCGACCTGAGTGGTATAAACCACCGTCAGAACAATCTGTTCTTCAAAACCAAGTCTAGGTTCCGGCCGCTCCTAACACTCAATACAAGTTAATGGTAATGATTTCTACGTAGTAAAAGTTAAGAAATCATAAAACAAAAAAAGTTAAGAAATCAGTCTTGAATATACAATAATTAACAATTAACAATATTTGTTACATTCGTATATTGCACTACTAATTAGTCGTCAAGAAAGTGAATAAACATCTAATATTGAAGTTGTGAATATGTGAGCTGCATCTCTTTATAAACATGAGCCGACCCTAGGGAATCTCTAGGCAGCGAGCTCCATCTAAACTTCTAGCTTCTTCTCTCAAATTGACCACAATTTTGATGAATGCAATGTTCTCGATATTAATGAATCAAAAGTTTTGCTATGTTGTCTCTTTTTTTTTTATTTCCATCTTCTTTCATTCTGGTTATGATCCACTATCTTCTTTGGGAGAGGGTTATGTCCGGATTGTCCGCTTTGGGTGAGCGCGTGTTTTGTTCTTCTCTTAGCAATGTCCAGAGGTTGTGCCTTCCTCGTCGATGTAACCGATCGAGTGGTTCATTATTCATGGTTGACAAGACAGGTTCAACCTAGTTCTTTTGAAGCTTCAATTACCCGTCCTCCTCACTCGAAGAAAAAGATAGCGCTCAATTAGATCTTCTTTTCGATAACTGGTCAAACTGATGATTGAGACAATTTTTGCTCAATTGAATTTCCTTTGTTGGTTGTTGGTCAAACCAATCTCCCTTTCCGATGGCTGGTGAAGTTGTATCTTTTAGTTGTAATTTTTATTTTTCTCTTTGGAGTAGCAAGAAGAACAACAAAGCTGTTAGACTAGCTAGACTACATTATTGCAAGGTTAGCAATATGGAAGGATTCACTGAATCTTTTCCATTCTATGTCTCATCCCATTGTAGCATTAGACTATTCATTCTCTTGTATCTTTGATATCTTATATTAATAAATTAGTTATTTAATTTTCAAAAAGAAAAATTAACAATATTTTAAATGAATACAATACATATTTTAAATGAGTATGCAATAAACAATAGTCATGATTATATCTTATGAGCCGTGTGAGGTGTACACATTTTAGTATACACATTTCATACAATTGTGTGTCTTACGCACAACACACTTAATGATATCACTTAATGTGTACACCAAATTGTGTTTTGATGATATCTTATACACCAAGATTTAAGTCATATCATGAAGTGTATTGTACGTAATGTGTTAGACATTTTGTACATTTGTAAGCAGGACCGGTCCCGAGAAAACGGAGGCCCATGTGCAATAATAAAATTTGGGCCTTTTTTCAAGTTGCAACACAAGCAAATTGTCTTAAAAGACAAGTACCTAATAAATAAACGTAATGATTAAAATGAAAATAGTCATTAATAACATACAGTTTATTTAAAAAGAGACATTCTTCGAGCATATTTAGATGCAAAGTCATCTACCAAACTTGCAATGTCAATCTCTTTGAGTGTTTCAGATTCTCTGGATATCAACGCCAAACCACTGAGTCTCCCTTGTGACATAGTTGACCAATTATTGAAATTCTTCTATAATCCTGTACATGTTTATAAAATTTAAATTAATATTCAGTTTAAAATTAAGGTGAAATCATGAATAACAAAGTAGTGTATAATTAAAATTTATCGACCTCAAGTTACCTAATAATATATTTACCACTTTCTCAAATTTTAATTGCTAAACACATTTATACATCTATTATTAATTTTTACTTTAACTGCAAAAAATCAATAAATAACAACAATTCAACAATTCATCAATTCAATAATAATTCAAAAATTCAACAAACAATTCATCAATTCAATAATTCAAATATTCACAAGAATTTAACAAACAATTCATCAATTAAATAATTCAAAAGTTCACAAGGATTAGCAACTAAATGAATAAAATAATTGAAAATCAGTGACTGACCGGTCAAGGAGGCGGGACTCGGGAGCGTGAGGGACTGAGGGTCGGGAGGCGGTCGGCAGGCCGCAGGTCGTGGTGGTCTGGTGGACTGGTGGCTGCCGGCTGGACTGCAGAGGGGCGGAGCTGCTGGGTGCTGCAGGGCCTTGTGGCAGTGTGCGGCAGTGCAGGAGTGCGGCACAAGGTGTGCGGATTGCGGAGCGGGGATGAAGCGGACTGGGACTCTGGGAGGCGACGGGAATGCTTTTGGCTAAAGCTAATGGGCTGGGGTAAAACTAATACTCCCTCCGTCCCATTTTACTTAGCCAAATTTGACTTTTCAAGTCAACGACGTCTAACTTTGACCGATTATATGTTTATATAGAAAAATATTAATAATATGAAAATGATATGAAAATGTTCTTTGTTAAAAATACTATCATAAAAGTATAAAATTATTAAATTTTGCATAAATATATTAGTTTAAATAGTTGGTCAAAGTTTACCACATTTGATTGGAAATGTCAAAGATGGCTAAGTAAATTGGGACGGAGGTAGTACTATAACATGGCCTGGGCCGGCCTTGTTTGTAAGACACTTGTCTTTCTTGCATCATATAGTTGTACTTGCTAATTCAGAATTGTTAGACAATGTGTACATCAAAATGTGTGCAAAGAGCATTCACATCTTACGCTTAAATTTTTTATTTGGATTGAACTACTAGTATACTCTCTCCGTCCCTGTTTTTTCTCCCATTTCAGCCGGGCACACTAATTAAGATAGTGAGTTTTGTGTGGTGGAGAGTTATACAGAGGAGAGAGAAATGTGTAAGAATGTGTAAGAATGATTGTGAACCACAAATTCTTTGCCAAAAAGGGAAGGAAGAGATAATTTTGGGACGGACGAAAAAGGAAAGTTTGAAGATATTTCTGGGACGGAGGGAGTATCTTTTATAAGTATCCGAGATCCGGCTCTTTCAAATTTTTGGGGTTTTCCAGACTTCATAACACCGTTGGAAATGGCGTCTTCTTTAGTCCGGTCGACATGTTACACTCTTGTAAAAAGGTTCATCCTTTTTCAGCGGGGCTTCTCCACAAAAGCGGCGTCTTCCTCGTTTTCATCTACCGGTACTAACAACATCCAAAGAGAAAAGGACGTTTATGCTTACGCTGATGAAGACTCCGTCCCGACCTCCGGAATCAGCCGTCCGCTCTCCGAAATACTGAAAGAACTCAACAAGAAAGTTCCAGACTCCTTTATCAGGGTTCGTACTGAAGCTGACGGTTACCCTATTAAATACATTCCCTGGTTAGTCAGCTCCTCTTGTGTATATGCTTTTAAGCATTATGGAGTTATTAGGTAAATTCCTAAGTCTGGGAAAATATGGAGTTATTGTTAAATTTGATCTCCACTGTTTTGGGTAGAATCTGAACTGCTTTGCTGGGAAAATATACTCGCAACCATACACTTGAAAAGTTGTAAGTTGTAATTGTGAGGCCTTAACTCAATGACGATATTTTGTGGTTGATTCCTGAATATAGTGTTGCCAAGTAGAACTATACATTAGCTATGCTAACTTCATTTGGTGGCTGTTATGTTTTTTCCAAATGTGGATTGATCTTTCAAATTCTACAAAAACAATCACTGTATCAGTGATTCATATGAAGATATTCAAAGATCATCCTTTACTTGCTGTCCTGGTGGTTATGGTAGAGTATAAAAAGTCCTTTAGGAACAGCCCTTCATGGTACGTTTTTCTATTTTCTGCTTTGGTAGCTAGGTAGTGCAGAGAATTAATGAATATGCTCTAAATCAACTAAAAGCTTAGGGTTATGTGTCCTTAGGCTTGTCCTCATTGGGAAAATAAAATGGAGCACCTAACTAGAGTTGTAAATGAACCGATTCGAGTCGAATAGTGTGGTTTTGTATTTGTATTTGTTTAATTTTTTCGAATATGAATTCGAATTCGAATATGAAATGAATATTAATTTCGATTTGTATTTGTATTTGTTTAACAATATGAATAGTTAACGAATCATATACGAATATCGAATCCATTTGAGCATAAGTCAAATATTAGTCAAATATCACTTTAAAATAACTTTTCTTATATTTTTTATGTTATAATTGCACGCTATGACTTAACAGGTGTTCTTAGAATTTAATTTGTAACATTACATTTTTCTTTAAAATTTAATAGATCAATGCACTTTAGGGTTCACACAATATATTAACGTGAATCTATTTTATGATTAATAAATATAAATCTATTTCAAACGTTTTGAAATAAATACTAACACACACATATTAGAAATTATACTTATAATGTGTGAAATAAGTTAATAATTGTGTGTATATATATCAAAGTCAAACGATTCTAGTTTTATTCTTCAAATCAAATACATAATTATTATGTGTATTTGAAGGATATTTGAACCAAAAATCTGATTTGTATTCGTATGTAGATTCTATATTTTCAAATTTAAAACATGATTTTTTTTATCCAAATCACGAATCAAAATAAAATTATTTGCTTTGTTTACAACCCTTACTCCGTATGATACATCTGATTTATTACGAATGAACTTGGGATTTGTATAGATAAATGTATATATGGGCTACACTTTGAGGGTATAGTTATCATTTAAAAGTTATTAGAAAAAATGGCCTGAATATTACTCCTGCACTTTTCTATTCCAAAACTATTACCATTTTTCAGTTTCCCAAAAATCTGACCTCATTTAGTAATATTCATAAAAAAAGGCCAAGTTATTATAGTGTTATTAGTACTACTATTAATATTATTATTGATTATTGATATTTTCACTATTATTAATCGAATATATTTGATTAACATTCGAATCAAATACACTGATATTTTTATTTTGTATTTGATAACAATTCGAATCAAATTTAGTATTCTTATTTGTATTGGTATTTGAATTTTTCGAATTCGAATAGTCTGATACTAATTCGAATCGCGAATCGAGCATAAATTATTTGATTCATTTACAACCCTGCACCTAACAAGTAACAACACATCTTCACCGACCAAGAACTATGAGATCAACCCCTTTTTTCTGGGGTGATAGACTGACAGGTGGATCATACCATTTGAGCCTAGTTTTCATGCTTTTCCAGGAAATTTGGAGAAAGCTGCAAAGGATTGGGATTTTCATAAACCCCCCTTTCCGAAAGGAAGAGTTAATTCCATTTTCCTTTCCGCAGGGACACAAAGATTTGATCTAGCCATAAGAAGAATGCTTGGTATATTGGTCTAAATATAAATAACTCACTTCTTGGTCTTCAACCCTCTCAGTCACTACTTAAGTGCAATGGGATGTGTCTATTTCCCTATCTCTTTTCGCTAGAAAGTTTATGATATCCAATGGTGTAGATCCAATTACCTCAATTTCAGTTGGTTCAGTTTTTCATCAGTACGGTTTTAGAAAATGCAAAACCAAGAAATGAAGCGTGTAATTTATGTTGGTTTCGGGTTGGTTATTATCTGTCAGTTTTGTGTTGGTATGTGCAAATTTAGGACATTTATTCCTGTTTTGGCCGGTTCCATTGATTTTTAAAACATAAACCTTAGACTGTAAAATCAAAATGCTTCTGGTTTTGTTGGTTTTGGTTGGTTTGTTTGTTAGTTTCAGTTTTTTTGTTCAGCCCTAGCCCCTAGGTTTGTTAGCAGACATGACAAGTTGAAAGATCAATGTTGCAGGGAATATAAACACTAGAAATGCCATTATATATGAGATTGAAAAGTTTGTTTGCTTGATTGCTGCACGCCTGCACTAGTAGACTATCAGCATATAAGTATAATGTCTTATGGGCATATTTTCGTTTTTCTATGCGAGAGTAGACAAACTCGGAGGATGTAGCTCATTTTATATGCGAGTCTGCATGTATTTTCATCTAATAGTTGATATACTTCGTGCAACCAAGTTATTTGTCATGAGCAACAAAAAAGGCATCAAGATTTGCCCCTAATCTCGTGTTCATTTTCAAAATTCTTCAGGCATGTTATTAATAGGATCATGAACTTACATGCTCCAGGTATGATCAGGTCACCTGTGGTTCTATGATTTTTTGGATTATTTTCTATTTGTGCAGCATAACTGGTTTTTAATTTTTTTTATCTGAATCCTTTTTCATCTGCAGAATGGTCTGGTGAGGTTAGAAGCATGACTTATTCGGCTGATGGAAATTCAGTGTCAGTTGTCTACAGAGTTACGCTTTATGGGACTGACGCTGAGGTATCATTTCACTTGGCGAGTAGTTCCCACATAAGAGAGCAAGTAGTTCCTACATGGACTGTTGGATCACTCACTCTCACATTTGTGTGAGGTTTAGAGTGCATCTAAAAGGTCCCCATGTTCATACGGGCTCTACCTGCCTGTGTAGGTAGAACTGGAAGAACCCATTTCTTTTATTTATTTATTATTTACTCAACCAGCAAGCTAGCCTCTTTTTTTAACAATGCAATAAGCTATTCAGCCAGATCTTCTACCAAACAGGCAATCATTTGAGTTTAATTGTTGAATCTGAATTTTTTTTGGAAGCAGTTGAATTTGTAGATAATCAGAAAAAGTAATGCAACACTTATTCCTTTTAGTTGAAATGGCTGATGAAAAAAATGGTCTTCTGCCCTCTTAATTTATTTATGACTTCATTTATTTTATTTTTAAAATCACAATACTTTTTTAGATCATTTATCAAACTCATTGGGTTCAGTCACTTTGGCTAAATTATCATCTCAACAAACAGGCTCATTTATGAAAGTTTTGTTATATTTTCTTTCCTAAGCAACCAGATTTTCTGCAAAATGACCAACTTATTTGACCGCTTGCCTTGAAATGGCTTAGATTAAGATAAATGGCTCTTCTGCCCCCATATTTTAGGTATTATTTAATTTATTATTATAAAAAAATCATACTACCTCCATCCTGGCTTAATCTTCTCATTGAAAAATGACACAATTATTTAGACATAATTAGATACGGTAACTCGAGTATATTTTGAGAAGTAGTTTTGATGGGTATATATATAACATAATGAGTTGATTGATGACAACTGTGATGTCATAAGTGTATTGTTTTAATATTTGATGATTAATTTGTTCTTTATGAGCGTTAATTATTTCCTAAAATAGAAATGAAAAGCTTTAGCTGGGACGTCCAAAAGAGACAAGTGAGAAGCTTAAGCCGGGACGCAGGGAGTACATGTTTATAAAATTTCATCAAACTTCACCTCAATAAACATAGGCTGAGCATGGGCTGGTAAATGATAGTTTTGTTATTTTGTATTTCCTTAGATAGTCAGTCGTGCTGCTCATGCTTGAACCAATGCAAATTTCATATTTCCAAACAAGTTTTAGCAAAAGTGCGACTCACAACATAGTCATACCAGATTGTGACGAGTTTCAGCTTGCTGCATAGGATAACTGACAAACATGTCGTCTTCTCTTCTCCTGTTGTGTTAACTAGATATTCCGGGAATCAACAGGCACGGTTTCAATAGGAGAACCCGGTTTTGGTGATGCTGTGCAGAAGGCAGAGGCAATGGCTTTCCGTCGTGCATGTGCTCGATTTGGTCTCGGCCTCCACCTCTATCATGAAGAAATGGCCTAGTCCAACAAAAAAGTCTTGCACGTTTGTGTGTGTTAGGGGGAGAACATGTCTATCCGGCTAGGATGACAGGTCATGTATAATTAATTGCATTCAAACCCTACTGTTTTTGTGTGAACTTGTTAATACTTTACATTTTGATGTCTCTTTTGGCATAGCTCACGTGGGTTGTGCTTGCACATTCTAGACCTTTGATCAGGATTTTTTGAAAATGTTGTAAAAAGCGTCATCTGTCAGTCGGGATTAAGTGAAATCCAATTGGAATTAAGTGGAAATGTTATTAGTAGGGGTGGGCAGAATTGTTCGGGTCAATCAACCTAACCCGACCCTGAACTGAAAATTTGAGGTTTTGTTTGGTTTCGGTTATCCAATCAAAACCGTTTGGTATTGATTGTGGCAGCCCGGTTTGATGTGGTTGTAAACCGAACAACCATTCCAACTGAGGTTGTTTTTACTTGGACTGTAATTCGTCCCAGACCAGACCAAAACAGACCAGGCCAGACTAAAACAGACCAGATCATACCTTACCATTTATTATTATCATCATCATCATCATCATCATCATCATCATCAGGTGTGTGCATCGGTTCAAAACCGGATCGGACCGGACCGAATCGGACCGGATATCATTCTGGTTCAATCCGGTTCCGGTTTTTTCCGTCCGGTTCTGTCCGGTTTTCCGGTTTAAACCGGCTAGTGCACACCCCTAATTATTATTATTATTATTATTATTATTATTAATTTGAGCCTCGCCCTGTTGAAAACTGGACTGCTACAATTACAGTTACAAACATATGCAACATATTCATACATTCAATTTGAACTCAAACCCCAAATCATCACCAGTTTCAACCAACACAAAACCCCTAGACCCCATACGGCCTAACTGTAACTCAAACCCAAAATCATGCTTTCACCGTAACTCAAACCCAAGAGAATAAGACACACAGACCAATTTAAGGATAGAGATAAAAGAAGAGGTACTACCCTTAAAAGTGTCATGGCCAGCCACGGGCAGTGCATGCTCCTTTGTTCCCTCCGCCATTGCCGAGCAGACCTCGTCCTCTTCATCCACGCCATCTAGCCGCACAGAAGTGTCAGACAACACCTTGTCTCCATAGATCTTCCTCCTAGTCCAAGTTGGATCGCTTCAGAGTCACTGGAATACCCAAAGTGAATACGTACGGGCATACGAAACGTTTCCGGTGCGGGTTGGGTTTCCGGTGAGACTGGATAAGAACCCAAATCATTACTCGAATAGGTTTGCTCCAGCGAATCTGCAATCGATGTTGCATGTGGTTGGGTCATAGCATTTGATATCTTAATCGGACGGACATGGGTGGGATTAGGGTTCTTTTCCATCTTCTGATATGGGCGCAGAGTTGGGCTGGTTGCGATGGAGATAGGAGGTAGGTAGGGGTAACGGCGGAGGAGAAGTTGGGGGTAGCAGCGGCGGAGTGAGTTACAGAACCAGTAGGGGAGAAGTTGGGGTAGCAGGCGGAGTGAGTTACAGAACCGGTAGGGGAGGGAAGGAGATAAGGTAGAGTGAGAAGGAGAAGAGAAGAGTGTAGAAGCGGTGGGTAATAATTGGGAAGGAGAAGTAGAAGTGGCGGATAATAAATGGGGAAGGAGAGTAGAAACGGCGGATAATAAATGGGGAAGGAGGGTTTGGGTTTAAAATGAGTGGAGGTGTAGTTTTGGGTTTTCACCTAATTTTCTTTCCTAAAATAGAAACGTGACAAACATTTTGGGACGTCCATTTCGGGAAAGGGTGACAAACATTTAGGGACGGAGGGAGTATACAGCAACATAACTACTCAAGCACAAAACTTAATTGCACATAACTTCTCGTCTCTCAATTCTCTTTGTTATTGCCGATTGTGGAGACCTAATCCGGCTAATCATCTCACCTCTTCAAAGATGAAAATAATTCACCACTTACGGATCACAAGTTTCAACTTTGCATGATCAAAATGAAAAAGTTTAGCTCCTCATTGAAATCTAAACACATGAGAAGTATAAGCCAAACTATTAATATAATTGAGATTTTAGATGAGGGATAATGAATATGTCAAATGGCAAGGAAATGTGCGTTTTATAGAAGAAATGAGATAGCTAGGCCAAATACCTACCGGATATCCAGGATACCAGGATGAGTTTTCATTGAAGTAGCAACGAACTGCTTAAATCTAGTCATGTCGAGTGGGTATACCCGACCTTCGAGTCAACAATACCCACATGTATATTACATTATGGGATAAATGTAGTACTTAATAATCTAGTTAGTTAAATATGGTACATGAATTAAATGAGATTCAGTACATACACGTTTTATTCGATAACATGAATAAAAACGATCAAAAAATCGATGAAAAAAGTGTTGATTTAAAACGTGTAAATACGCATACATGCGGTATCTGTTACTCTCTCTGTCTCATTCAAAGGTTCTCACTTTCCTTTTTTGGACTTCCCAACTAAATGTTCATATTTTATATTTTAAGAAACAATTAACACTCTTAAATAATCGGAGTACTACCTCCGTTCCGTTGGAAGGTTCCCATAACACAACGACACGGTTATTTAGACAATAATTAAATAAAGTACTTCGAGTATATTTTGAGAAATAATTTTAATAGGTATATATTATAATGTAGTTAATATTGATAACTGTGAATCCTGTGATGTTATAAATGTATTATTTTTAATATTTAATGATTAATTTGTGACTTAAGATTGTTAATTGTTTCCTAAAATGGAAATGAGAACCTTTTATATGGGACATCTAAAAAAAGAAACTGGGAACCTTCTAATGGGGTGGAGGGAGTATTATATAACCATCAAAACATTGTCATTTTAAAATGGGAACATTTGAACAGAACAGAGGTAGTACAAAAGTTCAGACAACTCTTGTTTTGTATATTTAAATTATGGAACTTTATCAATTCGGGACCTGAAAGATGAAATGTATCGGTATAACACCTGAATGATGGAAAATTATCAATCTAGGATCCAAATGATTGAAACTATCAATTTAGGACCTAAGTTTTCATAAATTTTATTATTATTTTTTTTAAAAAAAAATTAAATAATATTTAGTTTTATTAAACTAATAAACTTTTGTGAAGAAAATTTCATCAAATATTAGCAATGGAATTAATAAAAAATTAAATAAATCAAAACCTATGAAATGTTAGGTCCTAGATTGATAGTTTTTCATCTTTCGAGTCCTATACTGATACATTTCATCTTTCAGGTCCCGGATATATAATTCGTCTATCTTTCAGGTCTCATGTTAAGACATGAGGTTCCATCCTAAAAGGTCAACCTCATAGGAGAAGTATCATATGTCTTAATATAGCACTTTGTTGATTCAAACTTTTCCGGTGTGGGATTGTAACAGTCCTCCTCACGACCAGACACTTCGTCTGGATCGTGCCATCAGTCATTTTTTCGTCAGTTCGTCATTGTCATTTTTTTTAATCGTGTCATCATTTTTTTCATAAGGGGCTCACACCATCGGTTTGACTCTGATACCATGTTATGATCTGAGGTTCCATCCTAAAAGGTCAACCTCATAGGAGGAGTAGCTCATGTCTTAATATAACACTTTGTTGATTCAAACTTTTCCGGTGTGGGATTGTAACATCTCAGAATGATAAAATTCCTTAAATTATAAATTTATTTTAGCACATGATCATGTATTACTTTTTTCAAAAATGTCAATTTTTGGTGTTAATTTCATAATTTAAAATATTTTTGTATTCATGAAGATACAATTAACATTCTAAACTTCAATTGTAAAATAAATAGTACCACCTCCACTTTATATAATTGCAACGTTTTCAATTTGCCGTTTTAAATTATACAATTAACATCATAAATTTTCATTTTTTGAAAGATATGATACATGACCATGGTGTTAAAATAACTTTCTATATAAAGTTTGGAGGTGCTTAAATTACATATGAAAGTTTGAGGTGTTTATCACACACTCCTTCAAAATTTGGGGTATTTTACTTATGTTCCCCTAGAAAGAAATAAAATCATACACATATTCAAGTAGCAAATCTCATTACTACACATCAAAGAATAACCTGTAAATGCATTAGTCGGCAACAAAAGTAGAAATAGTAATTAAGTCTAAGACATAATTCTACAAAAACAATGTCAAAGAAGAAGACATGATAACGAGAGAGGAGATGGAGGTTTTGGCGTCAGAGCACCATGTTACGTTCCAATGGAAGGGCATGAGTATTCCCATGCTGCAACGATCGAGATGATTACAAGACAAAGTGAGTTTGTTGATCTACATCAGACCTGCAATCACTTGGTCTTTGAGGAGGAAGGTGAAGGGTTATTGGTTCGCCCTCCTCCTGAACCATCGCCAAAGAATGACAGGGAAACTAGGGTTTGGACGAAAACGACTCAAGTTTGTTTTACACTATCTTGTTTTATCTGCATTAATTTTAAATTTTTAGTCCGATATTTTGTTTTTATTTCGTTTGTTGCGTTTGAGGTCAAACACTATAATTTATATTGGCTATAAAGAGTTTAAAGGAAATGCATGTTTGGGTAGTCATAATGTTGGATGTTTCGTGGTTTGATTTTTGAGTTTACTATAAACGTTTTTTGAGTATAAAAAAATGATAGAATGAGATTAAGTTTAGTTCACCTTCTTCGATCATATGATCATTAAATAACACTCAAGTTAAACTCGTCATTATCATCAAGATGACAAATAATGTACGGAAAAAATGTTCGGCTACTACATTTATTATTGTTTGTGTAAAAGTTTATACAAGAAAAACGCTAGGTTATGAGCCTTATGAGAAACCTTAATTTTGATGTTTTTTTTTAAAAAATGTCAGAAATCAAGTGCTCACTCCGTTCATTAAAATATAGCCAAGTTTAACTGGCACGGTAATAATAATATAAAAATTGTGTGATTGATGTTTATGCAGAGGAGAGAATTAATATGAACCACAAATTCTTTAATAAAAAGAGAAAGTTAGTAGGATAACTTAAAAAGAAAGCTGACAAAGTTTTCATGAACATAGGGAGTAGTATTTTAAATGTCTTTTAAAAATGTTAGCTTTAGCTGTCATGCATTTAATTTTAGTATTCAATATAAAATAGTTACTCCCTCCGTTCCTAAAAATTCTTCCCGGTTTGACTTGGCACGTTTATTAAGAAAGTGGAATAAAGTGGAAATGTATGATTGTGGTTGTGTAAGAAAAAAGTAAAATGAATGTGAGCCACACAAATTATCCAAAATGGGAAAGTGGGAAGTATTTTTGGGAACAACCGAAAAAGGAAAGTGGGAAGTATTTTTGGGAACGGAGGGAGTATAAACAAAGTATTTTGTAGTGTAACAATACAAAAGTATGGGGTCAATGAAGGCTTTTTAATCTTCTAAAGTATTGAAAAAATTATATTTAAAATATACTATATTAATTAAATAAAAAAAAGTTATATGAAAAACAACTAAAATGATTCTCTATAGTCGCTTCAATCAGTACAGTAAGAAAAGTAACTCGAATCTTACTCTATCTTATTATTACACAATTTAACCCGCAAAATAAAAAATTACATGTTAGATAAAAAAGTTAGTTGATAAGTAGAAAAATAGGGTGATAGATGAAATCTTTTAGACGTGGCGGTATTGAGGCGCAATTAAATAAAAATTAAAAGAAAGAAAGAAAAGGGTGTGAGGGCTGCAAATAAAGAAAGGGTAAGGATGTGTGTGAAATCCTTGGACAGGACAGGAGGCCTTTATTATTTATGTGTGTTTGGGTTGGGTGTCTCTTAATAAAAATCTGATCTGATAAGAAGAGGCGGGGCGGAGTGGATGGTGTATTCATAGATATCCCAGGCCAGCGATCGAATTGAAGAGAGATGGGGGGGCAGTTTGGGGACACGACGTACACGAAAGTATTTGTGGGCGGGCTGGCCTGGGAGACTCACAAGGAAACCATGGAGAAGTACTTCCAGCAGTTCGGTGATATCTTGGAAGCTGTTGTCATCTCCGATAAGGCCACCGGCAGATCCAAGGGCTATGGCTTTGTATGTAATACCTACCTTTTTAATTCATTAATCACACCGATTTGTCTACTTTCGATTTATTTAAACTAATAAATACAAGTACGTATTTCTTTTTCATCCACAAAAAGAAATAAGGCCGGTGGATTCTTTAATTTTTTCAACAATCATTCTCGTATGTTCAAAGCCGGCTGTGTATACATTGGTAGAGATCACATGTACCTACATATTTTGACTAGATATTTTTTGACAATTGCTGTTTCTAAACACTCTAAATTCATCATCGTCTTTCAAAAAGCGCCGCGGCAAAGGTCTGTGGGTCGGTAATTAGTACTATACTTTGAAAAATGAAACGCCTGCGTAGGTACAAAAACAGCTGGCGGACAAGTAGCTCATCTTTTTTTATTCCATAGCTAAGCTAGCTGTATGGCCGGTCGTATCCGGAGCAAATTGGCCGGCGTAGTAATTGAATGCATACACAGACAGGCAGGCAGGTAAAAATGAACCCAAATCCAGTAATTAAGTTGGAGTTGGTGGGCTGGAGTACGGAGTATTACTTACCAACTATTATCCCATTCATCTCACTCTGCCAATTTTGAATTATTTACTTCCTCCGTTTTTTTTATTACACTCCCTAAAATTATTATTAGGTAGTATTATTTTGTGTATATATAATGTGTAAGGGTTAGTTATGAGTTGTTTATTGTGTAAAAATAAAATAAAATAAAAGGTAACATTTCGGGAGGCGGAAGCGGCGATGAGAGCATGCGTGGATGCATCACCAGTGATTGATGGGAGAAGGGCCAACTGCAATCTCGCTTCTTTGGGTGTTCAAAGATCCAAGCCAAACACCCCCAAACCTGCCGCCGCCGCAGCAGCAGGTATACATGCATATGGATTTATACATACGGAGTACATTTCATTTTTCCTTATTTAGCCACACCGCCCACCTCAATTCCATCCATCTTTTCTGCACCTGCACTATACTTATGCTCAACTACTCCTTATATAACCACTTGCGCACTTATTTAGCCCAAAAATTCTATCTTCTTATACATATCAGTGCACTTTTTATTTGTGAGATTTTTTTTGTCTGTGAATCCCACACAAAAAATACTCTCACAGACACGGATTGTACTGATGCGTATAAGAAGTGTACACCAAGAATCGTTGTATTTAGCCAGCACTGCAAACTAAACTGGGTTGGTAAGGGGTCATGCCAAGTGCCCCCACGTTTTTGTAGACGCCTGCTGAATTATCTGCACAAACGAAATAAAAATTGTAATTGCATAAATAATTCAGAGGGCGTGTAAAATGATGTGTACAGAAAACTTATACGGAGTATATATATATGGTCTCCTTAATACCTTTTTCTCTGTTGCTGTTGATCAAGCTCATTGATGATATGAATGATAAAGTATGCATGTAATACTTTATCAAGTATGTTTTATTTCTCAAGTAGGACTCATTTAGTCCTATTGAAAGGATATATTGATTAAAATTTTCTAGAGACTTTGTCCGGCCGTCAACATTTGGGATAGTTTCCTTTGTAATTTTTTGATTATTTTTTTTAGAATCTTATTCATTATGTCTAGTTTACTATTACCAAATTTCACCTAAAAATTCAATCGGGAAGACATTCAAATGAATTCTTAAAGATAACTGCGCAGTTAGAAGCGCAGTTATCTTCAAGAATTTATTTGAATGCCTTCCATGTTGAATTATTAGCTGAAATTTGGTATAAGTAAACAAGATTTAATGAATAAGATTCTCAAAAAATTGCATCAAACAATTCCACCGGGAACTGCCCCAAATGGCGACGGCGGGACAAAGTCTCTTGTACAAGGGTTTATTTGACCTTTTTGGTTAGTATGTGGGCTTATTTGCTCCTTTTTCCTTTTTTTTCTTTGTTGGCTAGGGCAGTAGGGCTAGGGATTTAGGATAATGAGTATTCTAAATATATTTGAATGCTTATTGAAATTGTAATTTGTTATTTTGATTCATCGAAATATTGAACATACTTATAATTTTTTATATTTAATTAAATTTAGTGAATTAAATTTATATCTATGAACCATTAACTTATATTTAGTGATAATATTATTTTGAATGAAATTTTATGTTTTGTGATGATTGGAAAACAAAATATGAATCAAGATGTACAAAGACAGAAAAAAATTAAGAAATGATTTGGTCATGAAATCACTTTCCGGCTCTATCGATCGGTATGTTGTATGTAAGCACAAAACCTTCTCCCTCTAGGGCTCTTTGTATTTTTTCATCAACTTTGATCTTCTGATTTCGAAGAATATTCTCACTGTGTTAATAGTATATGATGTATTTTATATGTAATTTACTTATATTTAATTGCTATTTTTTTATATCATTGGGTTAAATAAAACATATTTAAAACAAAATTTCTACATGACCGTCTAGGGCCTCATAATTGCTCTAGCCGGCCCTGGCCGCACGGATATGACGTATGTATATTTGTATACATGTGTGAAGTGAGTCTAAAGCTTCCTCAAATTAATTTATTCATCAAGTAATCAACAAGTTAGTAAAGAGTACATTTAAAAAAACAAGTTAGTGAAGAGTACGTACACTAGCTAGCTGATTAAGTACAACTTTATAAAGAATGAATGATGTGCATAAATTTTTATCAGCATATTTTGTACTCCCTCCATCCCAAAAATAACTTCTCAGTTTTCTTAAATGGATGTCCTAAAATTAACTTCACACTTTTTTCCACTTCCTTATTTGGCAAATTATGTACATCAAAACAGTGCCAAACAGTGCTAAACAATGTCCAAACAGTAAAATTTATCTCCAAGTAAATTTATTTTCTTAAAATGTGTGAAAAACGAAGTATGAAGTTGTTTTTGGGACGGAGGGAGTATCTTTCTTTACCACGGACTATATATAATTTTTAATAGATAGGACATGCACCGGCCACGGCCGGTATCCATATAAGTAGCTAACTATAATCTCCACCAATAAAGGTGGAATAGCCACTCTAGGCGCCCTTACATAGGGTGGTTCGGTACGGTATATCGAATATTTTCTCTCATATCTTTGTCGTACCAAAACTTTTGGTATACGAAATATATATATTGTTACCTTATCGAAGTTTTGGTATAACGCATTTCGGTATACCAAAATTTCTATTCGGTAACGGTACAATATCGGTAAATTATCATGCATGTCTCCCAATACAACAAATTATCATAGACTAACGAAATATACTAAATCGGTGTTACTAGTGACATATTTAATCCATTATTAAGATGTTACAAAAACAATTAATAATCTATTGATGTGATATTCAATATCGAACAATAATTATTATTAGTATATTTAAGCAGTTCAACATGTCATGCATTAAAAATAACACATTCTCCTAAAATAACTTGAACAATATAGATATAGTTAAATCAATAGTTTTCTCTAACAAAAATGAATAAAACTATTCAAACAACATATATATAAAATCATTTATTCCTAATATGATAGTGTATTTAGTCATTTTTATAATTTACTCAACGGGTCATCCATCGTGACTCGCAAGCTTTTGGAACAAGATAGACTTGTTTCCGGATATTAGTACATTACTTATTAGACATTACGGTCAGTTTATTTGAATGTTAAGTAGTAGACGTCTAGAAGGTTATAGTGGGTTTTGGAATTTGAGCCTTTAATTTTGTATTTTGGTATTTGTAACCAACCTAAGTATTAATTTTGGACTTCAAAATTATAATGGACTTTTACAATATTTTAGAATTAAAAGTAATTGTTGGGTAGGGAGTCGGTACAGTATTATACCGGTATACCGCGGTATTTGAAAACATTTATCATTACCATACCGAAATAAATCGGCACACTAATATTTTAGTATTTTCTGGTATTTTTCGATACGGTATATGCTATATATTGATTTTCCGGTATTTTTGTCCTCCCTTACCCCTGATCCGATAAAATTGTGGAGAAGTAAATTACAATATAATGTTAAACAGTTTTTGAGTGAGGTAACTAGCTAGGCAGAGGCGTAGCTACGAGGGCCAACCTAGACTTCAATCCACCTTAAATATAAAAAATGACTATTTTTAGGGTAATAAATTTGGTGTAACCTGTTTGTAAAATACTTTCTCCGTCGTTTAAAGCTTTGTCAACTTTTTCCTTTTTGGATGTCCCACTAACTTTGCACAGATATAACGGCTCTATATCTAGGTATAATCTCCACACATAAAGGTGGAATAGCCCACCTTGGTCGTCCCTACGGGCCTACACCCCTCATGGAATTGCAGAAAAGTAAATTATGATATCTATCTCTAATTAAACAGTTTTTGAATGAGATAAATGTGTTGTCGGCATGGGGCGGGTCAACAAGAAATAGTTTCTTTTAATCTAGTTGCTAGCTTTAGAACCATTCCATATGCGTATGATGCTGGCCTGGCATGCTTGCATGACCGGCCATGTGCATGTCTTACAAAGACTAGGCAAAGACAGCTAATTTCTACTCATGTGTACCTGATTCTTACACTTTTGCTTTTTTCCATTCAATCATTCACGTACCCTTTTCTTTCAGCACAATCATTATTAATACAGAATGTCACACATCAATAATTCTTAGAAATAATGTGTATTGTGTGTCTGAGAGTTGCGGAGAAGATACAAATGTGTAATGTTGTGAATCACACATTCTTTGATGAAAAAGAAAGAGGAAATAGTTTTGGGACAGATGAAATTAGATAGTTTGAAAATAATTTAGGAACGGAGAGAGTATTATTTATTGGATCATTTTTGTTGTATACATAAGTTTGTACTCATTTTATTTCCAGACTCCTAGTTGTCTGTGTACAAATAATTTTTTTCATATTTGTTCTCTTAATTCCGTTTTTCTCCATAATTCAACATTGTTCAATATATTCCCCTGCATCATATTTTCAAAATACAAGACATAAATATTCTTTTATTAATGTAAATGATGTTGTGGCAAATATTTTTATGAATAATTATAATTTAAAAATTAAAACAAACCGAAGTAGAAATAAATAAATTTGGATTTTAATTTTTACAGTTATTTTTTTATTTTTATTATAGCACTTGGACTTGCCTAAAATAATTTGGACACAAATATTTCTAGCTGTTAAAACTTTTGATATTTTTTGTACTTTATATGTGATGTATTAGTGCTATATGAAATATTATAAAAAATTATTCAATTGTTTTTCTGAAAAATCAGGAAATAGGTAAAAAGGTTAAAACGTTTTACTCCCTCCGTCTCGCCGTCTCGCAATGAACTTCTCACTTTTCTTTTTTGGATGTCCCAGAAACAAGTTCTCATTTTCTTAAATAGCAAGTTAATCTACTTCAAAACAGTGCAAAACAGTGCCAAACAGTGTCAAAACAATGCCAAACAGTGTCAAAACAATGTCAAAACAGTAAAATTTACCCCATGGTAAGTTTATTTCTTTAGTATGTGTGTAGGTCAAACTGTGAAATTCACTGTCGGATGGAGGGAGTATAATATTACCCCTGTTCTGTAAACTTCACCATCTATGACTACAACTTACAAGTCAATAGTGGTAAGTTTGGATGAGGTATTTGACATGAAATCATCGATAAAGATGTGTCAAATTCGTATCGATCCCGTAATTTTTTTATTATTTATATAGATATCAATATATCTATCTATCTATATTAATTGCATATATATATATATATATATATATCAAGAATAATAAACAGGAGCAGTTCACAGAAGCAGTCCAGCTTATTATTCTTGATAATATAAATCACATTCTTAAACTGCACTTATAACTAAGTTACTTCATTACAAAAAATATTTACACTCTTGCTTCATTTTTTCGTTTTATTGGGTAATATTATTATGCATAATTAGTATTATTATTTCTATACATTAATTTTTGTGAGTGGCTGATTTATATATGTATATAATATATATAATTGAGCAGGTGGAGTGATGAATTACAGTGTAATGAATGGCTTTCAGGGAGGATTTGGAGCAACAACAACATTTCCATCTTCATCAACCTTCCCTCACTATGCCATCCAACAAGCCCTCCCTTATCCTTATGGGTATGCGCGCACACCATATAATATACACTCTATTAATTGCATGAATGCATATATACTCTTTTCTCAAATCATTTTTCCTTGTTATTTACCGACTATATATATATATTACTCCTTCTTAACACTAAATAGCATTGTACTTCTTTCTCCTATAATTAATTATTAGAATAATTTTTACTTATGGTTCTACCAGTATCATACCAATTCCAAAATTGCCCCACATATTCCTATAATCAGTGACCACATTATATGAAGTACAAATAAAAATAATAAACAAAATAATTGTACTGATCTGACGAACAATATAAATGTTTCAATGTTATTATATACTTTATCAATCCAATCAAAATGTGCTTTCAAAGCAAATGTTTCAATGTTAAAATTACTTTCATAAAGTATAAAATGTATAAATTTCACATTACTATAATAACTATAATTATCATAGTTGTCCAAAATTTACTACCATCCGCCATACAAAGTAAATTTGACTAAATTTCATGGGATGGGGATAGTAGTTTTTATGTACTTAAAATTTTCCTTTTCTCAATAGAAACCATTATCAATTTGTTTATATTCTAAATAAAATTACATTCTTAAACAATCAGCACATCAATAAGAATAAATAATACAATATTCTCTACATTGATGTTTCAAGAAAGATTTGAATATTTCATTAAAAATTAAATATAATTTTTAGAAATGAAGAATTTTTTATAATCAATTATAATAACTTTAGTACATTATGATTACTTTCGTACTACTTTAGTCCCTTTTTATTTAGTCATTTTCGACTTTTCCAGTCAAAGATGACAAACTTTGATCCATTATTCTGATCAATATATTTATGTGAAACTTAATAAGACTCTAAAGATGGCAATCTAGACTGTTGCATCTTATTGTCTTCTATAGGTGCTATTCTCACCTTTTGTTTGATTATTTCATTCCTCAAGCAGTCCTTTTTGTATTTCCACATATCCAATGTAATATACACATTTCTACCACACTCAATTTTGGAATGTAACATTATTTCACTACCCAATAGTCTACGTCGTACATTAAAGCAGACATAATTTTTGTTCTGTAAAATTTACCATTCAATCTAGTCGGCATACCTCGATCACATACAAATTCCGATGCAGTCTTTTATTATAAACTTCACGTAAGTAATGAGTGAATACACACTTTTTTAAAATTTGGTATTATAATCAATACTTTTACCTCGGGGTGGTTCGGTACGGTATACCGAATATTTTCTCTCATACCTTTACCGTACCGAAACTTTCGGTATACAAAATTTATATACTGTTACCTTACCGAAGTTTCGGTATACCGCATTTCGGTATACCGAAGTTTCGGTTCGGTAACGGTACGGTATCGGTAAATTACTATGCATGTCCCCCAATTTAAAAAATTATCAGACTAACAAAATATAGTAAATCGGTGTACTAACGACATATTTAATCCATTATTAAAATGTTACAAAATACAATTAATAATCTATTGATGTCATATTCAATATTGAACAATTATTATTAGTATATTTAAGCAGTTCAGCATATTTAAATAACTTGAGCAATATAGATATAATTAAATGAATAGTGATCACTAACAAAAATAAATAAAATTATTCAAACAACATGGATATAATATCATTTATCCATAATATGATATTGTGTATTTAGTCTTTATAATAATTTTAAATAAAATATTTGAATAAGACTTTCGGACAAAGTTATGTGCCTCGACTTGCGGAATCTCTATGTCAATCACTCGTGACATAAGTGTATCCCTCTTCACTCGTCAGCTACTTAGCGGCTCAGCCATCGTGACTCGCAAGCTCATGGAACAAGATGGACTGGTCCAGACATTAGTATATTACTCATTAGTCATTAGGGTTTGTTTGTTTGAATGTTACGTAGTAGAAGTCTAGAAAGTTATAGTGGGTTTGGGAAATCGGGCATTTATTTTTGTATTTTAGTATTTGTAACCAACATAAGTATTAGTTTTGGGCTTCAAACTTGTAATGGATTTTTACAATATTTTAGAATTTATAGTAATCGCTGGGTGGGAGTCGGTACGGTATTATACCGGTATACCGCGGTATTTGAAAACATTTACCGTTACCATACCGAAATATATCGGTACGGTATCATACCGTACCGAAAATGACGGTATACCAATATTCCGGTATTTTCCGGTATTTTTCGGTACGGTAAGTGCGGTATACCGATTTTCCGGTATTCTTGCCCACCCCTACTTTTACCCATCAAATTTTACTCAATTTAAATCAAAATAGTGTTGATTTTTGAGAAGTTATAATTGTTTACTTATAATGAGTTAGCATAGCCAAATACATCAAGTGGAAGATATATATTACCAACCTCCATATTCTCAAACTTTAAAAGGGTCCGTACCTCCGTCCGCTGAGCACCCCTTGGCTCGCACATGACATGGATTCATATGTTACAAGCCGCTAAGCCAAGTCCATAGTCGTTCATGGCTTCACAATCTAATGTTTCTTTTTACGTTTGTGTCAGGTACTCTTCTTACTCGCCGGACTATACCTATCCCACGGTTTGTACATCTTCCCACAACACGTACCACATTTCCTTACTTTTATATCCACAAGTTGTATCATTCAGATTTCAACTAATTAATAAATACATTAACTTATATTATTTCTCTTTTCTGAAAGCACACCACCGGCCCTCGAAGATTATTAGATTATACTCCCTCCGTCCTAAAATGATAGTCCTGTATTTCCTTTTAGGGATGTCCCAAAATGATGGTCCTGTTTCCCTTTTTGGAAAGAAAGATGTGGTCCATATCATTTCACTTTATTATACTCAAATCTGAAACACAACTTTTACCTTTTCAACCACTTTATTAAAACTTGTGTCCAAAAGAAATGAGATTATCAAATTGGGACGGAGGGAGTACTCCGCAGTATGTTTTTTGTATCAATAAAAGAGAAATCACGACCGGTCTCATGTTTCTCGGGGCTTAAGGGGAAAAATTAAATTGCAATAGATTTATTTTAATCATTACAAATTACTTCTTTTAAAAAAACTGTAGTATAAAATTATGTATAAGTATATACGGGGTAATAAAGATAATAATTACTTTCTAGCGAGACTCTGGCTTCATTGATAAAGAATGTGTAGCTTACAATCTTTTTCTTACCGAATATTGTCTCCTCTGGGGTATCAGCATGGGGTTCTTCTATATATTCTTTTTTATTCTTGTAATGAAGAATCATTGAGAGCCCGTTTGGTGACCCCCTTTTCGGCTTATCAGGCTTATCATCCAGTTTTTTCACCTAACACGTAACTTTTGATTTCACACGCTGAATTTTGTAATAAGCAGAAAAAGTAAGGTTGGAGTTACTTTTCTAGCTGTATTGGCTGAAGTTACTGTAGATGATCATTTTAGCTATTTTTTCATATAATTTTTTATTTAATTAATTAATAACATATATTTTAAATATAATTTTTTCATGAATCAGCAGAATCAGGCAATACAGTCACTTCAGCCAGAATTTCATAAATTTCAGCAGAATCAGCCAATTCAGCCGATTTTGGTGTTACCAAATGAGCTCTGAGTTTAATGGGAGTAGTTTTTTCTGTTGAGCGTTACATCGATCATTGTACGTGGTTTTGACTAGACACTATAGCAACCGCCCAAATGTAAACAAAAACTACTGATCCCATTATTTCTTTAATGGAAAAAGTAGTGCGTGACACTTTTTTGCTTTCCAGATTTACTTTTCTGTTTCCGCGTTTTCAAAATTGAAGACTGTCCCCCGTCTTCATTGTGATTCCTGTTACAAACCTTCAGACCATCTCAATGTAAACTTCAAATATTCACAATATAAAACAAGTGTTTGCATTTCAGCTTTGATAGTCATTGCTATTCACTTTTTTATGAATAATAAAATTCTTTAATACTGCGTACCATTTATTATTATGATCATAAAAATGTTGTTTGTGTACATAATTTATTATAAATAATTATATATATATATTGACAATTTGGTAAAGTTTATATGATTCTAATCATTTTTACTTTATTTTTACTTTATCAAAATTACATAAAACACTTTTTCTTGTCACGTCTCATTGTTATGGAACCAAGGGAGTAGTAGGTTACCTTTCGTGTCCGTTCTCATTAAAACTAGAATTTCCTAACTTGCAATTCTTTGGGAAGCTAGGCGGCGTAGATATACAGTCACATACTATCGTATTAGGTAGTACTGTATGTTTTAATACTCGGTAATATTTAGATATTTCCCCCGAAATATGTATATATTATTACAGTATGATGATATATATAGATATGGGTGTGCGCCTGTGTAGAGTTACTACGGAATGTACGCTGGTGGGGCGATGGCAGGGCAGTATCATCTGTACGGTAGTGGGACAAATGGAATGCTATCTGCGGCTGCTGCCTTCTACCCTTACCTTAATTTCGGCGACGGAGCAACCACCGCCACTGCAGGCCAGCCCTACGGTGCACAGTACCCACACCACCTGTTTCAATACTCCGCTGCCATGACTACCACCTCCGGCTACCCTGCACATCACTACGCCACCCCCATCTCTCTGGCGCACACGCCTCCACTCCAATCAGGTTTGTACCCTACTTCATTAATTATGCGAGTGCTTGTGCTTGTGCTTGTGAATGTGAGAACATGAATATATGGTGCCTAACTGATATATCCAATTGTCCGAACCATTTTTGGTATGAAAAATGTTTTTAAGACACCATTTTTCGACACCACATGTGTTAGCTTTGCCTCTATATAGACAGGTAAAATGTACATGCATGTTGACTCATTCAAAATTGTGTCATACAAAAATCACTGGGGCTCAAAGAAAAAACAAAACAACAAATTGCGAGCATATGGCAGACACATTGCCTTACCCGCATATAGCATTCACAAACCAAACAGCAATCAAAAATCTAGAATACAACCAGCCCAATAAAAGAAAAAACCCTCCAAAAAGTCAAAAACAGATTCTAAAAATAAAAAACAGTGGTAGGATATAGGCTGAACAAGATTCTATAAACTACCACCTTGATATTAGCTAAAACCTCTTGGGGTTGGAAAAGAAGATGATCAAAGTATTCTAAAACATCGTATATAGACATATGGAGGAATTGATTTAAGGGGAGCCGAAGCGACCGGCGGCCACCTCCGATCCTTCAAATTTAAAATTTTCTATTATATATCATATACTATCTATTTCTTCTGTTCTTTTTTAGTTGCAACATTCTCTTTTTCACGCATGCCAATGCACAACATTGACTGTCATTATATTTTATACTCTATTAATAAAAAATTTTTAAAAAACAGATTATGAAACTTTGTAATGAGACGAATTCAATGATATTTTTTAAAAAATTATTCACATACATTAATAAATAAAATGTAGTCAAAGTAGAGCACATGAATATTGTGTAAATTTCAATGTTGCAACTACTATGATACGGAGGATAGTATGTAGTATGTATTGTTTTCATAAGGCTAAAGGGTCAAATAGACCCTTGTATCCGTTTGGAATGCTCAATTCGTACCTTGAACTCTAAAAAGCTTCAATTCACCCCTGAATCGACAAAAATGTTCAAATCTCATTTTTTGCAGGTAAACGTCTAGTCACCGCCACATCACCCGATCAGATGCCAACTGTGCATCCCAAATGACAATTTAAGGGGTCAAATAGGGCCCTGAACCCGATAGAGTTCTTCAATTTACCCCCTCAGCCGTAAAAAGTTCCAAAATTTCTATTAAAAAAATTAGAAGTTAAAAAATAGAAAATAAAAATATAAATAATATACAAGTTCATAATATAAAATATAGACGTCTATTTTAAATATATATATAAATCAAAGAAAAAATAAATTATTTTTAAATAAATAATACTTCCTCCGTTCTTAAATAAATGCAACGATCAACATTTCACACTTGCCGAGACACAACTTTGACCATTAATATAAATGATTTTGTATTAGTAAAAAAATTAAAAAATTAGATTATGAAAATTTACAATGAGACAAGTTTAACAATATTTTTTTCATAAAATAATATTATTACATTAATAAATAAAACGTAGTCAAAGTAGAACATGTGAATAGTATAAAAGTCAAAGTGTTGCATTTATTTAAGAACGGAGGTAGTATAAAAATGTAAAAGTTTTTTCATAGGAAAGTGCAGAACCACAAATTAGTTGTTTTAATAGGAAAAACGGTGTGGTTGAGATTTGTGCAGAGGAGTAAGAAATGTGCAGAACCACAAATTAGTTTTAATAGGAAAGTTGGCAAAATGTAATGGCACCGAGGGAGTAATACTTTTTATATAGTATAATTTTTTATGCTGTATATAATTTGTATGAAGTATAGTTTATGATTCTAGTATAAAATAATACACAAAGTATATATATCTAAAATATATATACTCTAGAATATATTACTTATAAACATAATATAAATTGTAAAATAGAAAACCAAATCATGTTTTTAATAGCAATTATTACATAATACACAAAATACAAATTTAATTTTAATTTGTAAAAACATGTATGGTTTATTTTAAAACAAATAGATTTAAAATACTCCCTATCAAAAAATATATCCTTATTTTTTGTGGAAAATTCATATAAATTTAACTAAAACGAATTACTTAAAACTGTTTTGATATTTTAAATCTATTTTTTCAAAAGAATAAAAAATACATGATTTTACAAATTAAATTTTTATTTTGTGTATTATATGTAAGAATTGGTATTATAAATCATATTTTAGGTTTTCTATTTTACAATTTATATAATGTTTATATTTTAGAGTTGTAGTTTTCATTTGATATCTTTTAATTTTTTTAATATGTTTCAGATTCGTATGTAAACTTACACACACATGCATATATGTATATATACTTCGTATTATTTTATTGTTGAATTATATATTATACTTCATACTAATCATATACGTAGTACAACATAATTTTTTTTATACTATGTAAAAAGTATAATACGAAAATAGCTATTGAATTTTTGTATTATGTATTTAAAAATAATTATTTTTGTTATATTTTTTATATATTTAATTCACCCAAAAAATTTAATATTTTTTATTATAATATAAATAGGCGTCTATATTTTATATTATGAACTTGTATATTATTTATATATTTTTTGTATTTTAAACTTCTTATTTTTTTAATAGCAATTTTGACACTTTTTAACGGTTGAGGGGTAAATTGAATGACTCTGTTGGGTTCAGGAACCTATTTGACCCCTTAAATTGCCACGTGAGATGCACGGGTGGCATATGATCGGGTGACGGGGCGGTGACCGGACTTTTACCTGCGAAAAATGATATTTGAACTTTTTGTCGAGTTCGAGAGGTGAATTGGAGCTTTTTAGAATTCAGGGTGCGAATTGAGCATTCCGTACGGGTATAGGGGCTTGTTTGACCCTTTAGCAGTTTCATAAAGTTTTCATACTTTAATTTGATATATATACTTGTAATTTGCCTCCCTAAACTTTAAGAAATCAATAACATTGATTGATGCACATGAAAAAACTAAAGTATGCTGGTAATTTTCTCCTTTTGAAATCCCTATTAGCTTAATTAATCAAAATGTAAAGTATGATTTATTGAAGGGGAGATAGTAGTAGCTAATTATTACTAATTGAATGCACTTATATTGTTGTGGTATGGAAAAATGATTAATGGCGCATAGTAAAATTATTAAATTTGAAAGTGTAGTTGAGGTGTTAGGTAGAACGTACAATTAATGCATGTTTTTAAAATAAAACGGTGGTCAATATAATGGTGCTAAATCCTTTTGATAGTTTGTTGTTTTGTGGTACCACAGGCGTGAAAATGGCGACCGCCGCGTTAGGGACACCAATTCCTCCACACCGTTAAGCTAGAGATTCATTATTCATTCATTGAAGCTAGGCTAAGGAAAGAGGAGGCGAAGCCAAAGCGCGCGCACCTTATCATAAGTATGATGGAGTTGAGTTGAAATGGTGAATGGAGATCAATCGACTCAATGTCTTTCCATCATGTATCTACCTAGCTAGCTACCAACTTAGCTACGCTACTAGATCTTCACCAGCAGCAGGGCGTGATGTGATATGACGACGTCTACGCTTCTCACCCGAAGCTCGCCCCAAATATGGCATTTGATCGAGCTTCTCCGCATATTGGCTCGGGTCGAGTGAAACACCCGCCCACCTCGCCGCCTTCTTATCTCTTGCAAGGGAATATGGATTCCTTCATGAGGCAGAGAAGCTACAATTATTATATATAGATATAGATAAATATACAAGCTTACTCCCATGAAAATCACGTGTTAGTAGCATTGCTTTGTCCTTGATTAGCCTCGGATAGGCTAATTATATTTAATCAATCTAGCCATTTAGGAAATCAAACCCTTTTTTTGAACTGTAACTTAGGTTATTTAATCTCCAAATTACTGTGCCTCAAGGAATTTTATTAATGGTTAATAAGGTTCCATTGGGACACGACAAACATGCATTTATTTGTATTACTAGGGACTTGTCATTAATGTGACATGTTTAATTATGTAATTATTATTTATTCCGTATTAGCTAATAGCAACGTACGCACTAAGAGGATTCCTTCTCCAAACTATTGATTGAGAATGAATGATATTTCTGTTAATAATATAGGAATGTTTGCAATTGATTATATATGTTTCCGCTTTATTTAAGCAGATTAGAATAAGAATCATTTTTCAGAAGTTAGTCTCTTCTGCCCCTAAAAACTGCTTCTAAGAGCAATTTGGACCACCTAAAAAATATGCTTCTAAAAATTGTTTCTAGAAATCTGCTTCTAAAATACTTCTTCACTTTAACACCAAATACTCCAAAATATTCTTTGAAAGAGGAAGAAAAACAATTTTAATAAGTAGATCATATGAGATAATTTGAAATTTCAACAAGTAATCTATTAGATGTCTTTTGACCTTCAAATTCATAGGAAAATCTCTAGATCTTTCTATGTAGCCCAAAATATGTTGTTTGTCAAAATTTTAATGAATGCTAATGAGTAATGAGTAATAATTTTCAGTAGAAATAAAAAGAGCAACTAATCAAATTTAAAGTTCTTTTCAGAGATTCACTTTGTCTACCAAAATATCCAACAATTTTTTGTATCAGAGCTAGATTAGTATGGTTTCCTCGACTCCTGGAACTATTTTTGCCTATGCAGCGAACCAAATCTCTATCTTTGAAGAAATGCATTATGATTATGATTTATGAGTATTGGCATAGCCAGATGAAGTTTGTGTTCATATATGAAGGCCTATGGGAATTGGTTGAAGAAGGATATGAAGATCCACCCGCAGATAGGGAAACTTGGACAACTGAACAACAAGCTAAATATAGAGAAATTGTGAAGAACGATGCTAAAGCTCCACGCTATATTCATCAAGGTGTAAGTCGGACAATTTATTCCTGGATGTATGGCATTTCCAAAGCTAAAGAGAGGCATGACAGATTCTCCAACAATAGTTTCAAGGGAACGAGAAGGTAATATCCATCAAACTTCAAACAACTTCGAACAACTCCTAAAATCTGCTTCTAAGAGCAATTTGGATCACTTAAAAAATATGCTTCTAAAAATTGTTTCTAAAAATCTGCTTCTAAAGTACTTCTTCACTTTAACACCAAATACTCCAAAATACTCTTTGAATGAGGAAGAAAAACAATTTTAATAAGTAGATCATATGAGATAATTTAAAATTTCAACAAGTAATCTAGTATATGTTTCTTGACCTTCTAATAAATAGGAAAATCTCTAGATCTTTCTATGTAGCCTAAAATATGTTGTTTGTCAAAATTTTAATGCATGCTAATGAGTAATAACTTTCCAAGAGAAATAAAAATAGCAACTACTCAAATTTAAAGTTCTTTTCAGAGATTCACTTTGTCTACCAAAATATCCAACAATTTTGGTATGAGAGCTAGATTAGTTTGGTTTCCTCAACTCCTGGAACTATCTTTGCCTATGCAGCGAACTAAATCCCTTTGAAGGAATGCATTATGATTATGATTATTGGCATTGCCAGATGAGTTTTTGTTCATATATGAAGGCCTATGGGAATTGAATGAAGATAGATATGAAGATCCACCCGCAGATAGGGAAACTTGAACAACTGAGCAACAAGCTAAATATAGAGAAATTGTGAAGAACGATGCTAAAGCTCTACGCTATATTCATCAAGGTGTAAGTCGGACAATTTATTCCTAGATGTATGGAATTTCCAAAGCTAAAGAGGCATGACAGATTCTCCAGAAAGAGTTTCAAGGGAACGAGAAGGTAATAGCCATCAAACTTCAAACAACTTCAAAGAGTTTCAGATGATTTCTCAAGAGCAACAGATATAGTAAATCAAATTAAAAGTTATGGAGACAACATCCAAGAGAAGAGGATCGTTGAGAAAATTATAAGAAGTTTGGCATCCAAATTCAATCACATAGTTGCTACCGTTGAAGAATCGAAAGACCTATCAAAGCTCTCAATGTTTATTTGATGGGTTCACTTGAAGCTCATGAATAAAGAACATGGAGGTGAACAAGTCATCCTTCAGAGAAGGCATTTCAGTCCTAGACTAATCTCACTAAAGCAAATTATCATATGAAGAAAGGAGGCGAATTTCAAACGAAAAGGCAGCTAGGAAGAAGCAATCATGAGAATAATGCTTTCTCACATAACAAAGGTAGAGGAAGGAGAGGAAACTCACTGCAAATAAAAGGAAGTAATTCATTTTGTATCATATGCAAAAAGCCCGGTCATGAGTCATCTGAATGTTGGTATAGGTGCAAAAAATGCAGAATTCCAAATGATTCTTAGCGATATTGTTGGCATCAACTGAAGGAGAAAACTGGGGCAAACTTCTTACAAGAAGGAGAAGGAGGTAAAGTGTTCTACACTTGCTTGAATGTCTAAGAAAATTCAAGCAAGAGGTGGTTTGTAGACAGTGTATGTAGCAAATAGCAATCACATGACTTGAGAAAAAGACATCTTTATTAAGCATATACAAGCATTACAACTTTTGGTTTGTAGACAACTGACTCTTGGAGATGGAAAATCAGGAAAAGTTGAAGGCAAAGAACAATTTTTGTAGTATCAAAAGATGGAAACCAAAAGAGCATCACTAACGTTCTCTATGTACCACGTCTTGCTCATAATCTTCTAAGTTTTGGACAACTTGTGCAAAAGGATTACAAAGTGGTCTTTGATAATGGAGGATGTGAGATCACTGATAAGAAAACAAACGCCATTATCGCAAGAGCTGCAATGACTTGAAATAAAGTATTTCCTCTTGATATCCCGACTTGTAACAAGGTTGCACTAAGTAGTGAAGTTAATCATGAATCTCTTCTATGGCATTTGAGATATGGCCATTTACATCAGAACGGGCTACATTTGTCTAAAAAGAAAGAAATGGTAATTGGACTTCCAGAAATTCATGGGCAAAGAGATGTATGTGAAGGTTGCGTGTATGGAAAGATGCATAAGCTAGCATTCCCGAAGATATCTTAGACGGCCCTGTGCATACTGACATCTTCGGTCCAACCTGAACTCCCTCTCTTGGTAATAAAAGAGTTTTGCTTTTATTTGTGGATGATTACACTTGTATAATGTGGATTTATTTCTTGATAAAAAATCAGATGCCTTTAGTGCATTTTTGCAACTAAAAACTCTTGTTTAAAGGCAAAGTGACTTCGTGATGAAGACGCTCAGAACTCACTGTGGTGGAGAGTTTATCTACAAACCCTTCATGGAGTATTGTAGAAAAAAAGGCATTCTTAGACAGCTTACTATTTGGTAGAACCACCAACAAAATGCAGTCTTTGAGAGAAAAAACCGAACAATTGTTGAGATGGCCAGGAGTACGTTAAATGGTAAAAGCCTCCCCAATAACCTGTGGGCAGAATCTATATATATTATAGTTTATATCTTAAACCGCTCTCCAGCGAAGTCCGCTCGCAACAAAACTCCTGTTGAAGCATGGAGTGGGAAGACAACATATGCATTGAACCAATTCCCAAACAAAGACAAACTTGATTAAAAGGGTGAGAAGCTGCAGTTTGTTGGCTACAGTGAGGAACCTAACAGTTACATGCTATTGAATACAGAGAATAAGAATATTATTTTGAGAGACGTCATTTTTTATGAAACTACAACTTGAAGATGGAGAGAGAATAAAAGCTCCCTTCCAACCGCTATATAAAATGGTTATCACTTGAGAGGTTATAAAAATGATCAACACAAGAATATCACAAACACGACTTGGGATCTATAGAATATTAGTCCTGAATCAAGCTCTTCAATTTCTTCAAAGTCATATTTAAATTCACCAAGTTCGACCAGCAGTAGAATAATAGTAGTTCTTTAAGTGCACAGTCATAAACTTCATCCCCACCTCCACTTCGACAGACAGAAAGAGTTAGCAAGCCACCTGACCGATACGGCCAATGGACGTCCCGTGCAGCACAAATAAGAGAAATGTGTAAATTAACTCTCTTTACATGTGAACCACATACATCTGATGAAGCTGCAAAAGAAGTTGCTTGGAGGTAGGCAATGGATGATGATATTGCCATGATAGAAAAAACAGAACGTGGCAATTAGTGGATCTTCCGGAAGGCAAAGAGGTGATCAGTTTAAAATGAGCATATTAGACATAGTATAATGAAGATGGGACTATTCAATAGTTCAAAGCAAGGTTAGTTGCCAAAGGCTTCGCGCAAAACCCAAAGTTGATTTTAAGGAGACATTTGCCCCGGTTGCTCACATAGAAATGATTTGATTGGTGGTGTCCTTGGCAGCTCAATAGGAGTTACAAGTTTTTCATCTTAATTTGAAATCCATTTTTCTTAACTGGGAGCTAGAAGAAGTATATGTGGAGAAGCCATAAGGCTATGAAGTCAAAGGAAAAGAAGAAAAAGTGTGCAGACTGCGGAAAGCTCTTTATGGGCTAAAACAAGCCCCAAGAGCATGAAAGAAGGCCGATAACTATTTCAGCAATATGGCTTGACAAGAAGCCCGAATGAGCCCTCACTCTACTTAAAGAAAAATGGCCAGAAGTTTCTCATTATTTGCCTCTGTGTAGATGACTTGATATATACCGGAAATGATCCAGCTATGATGACTGATTTTAAAAGTAGTATGATAAAAGAATTTGAGATGACGGGTCTCAGACTTATGAAGTATTTTCTCGGAATTCAAGAAGCAAACCAAAGGAGAAATCTTTCTTTCAAGAAAATTTTGCACAAGACTTGCTGAAAAGATTCCACATGAAGGACTGCAAACCGGTTGCTACACCTATGGCATTAAATAAGAAACTAAACCAAGAAGATGGCGCAACTAAAGTTAATAAAAGCATGTACCACAATCTCATTGACTCATTTCTGTACCTAACCCATACAAGGCCAGACTTAACCCAAGCGGTAAGTATGGTGTCTAGGTTCTTGAACAATCCTAGTAAGCTTCATTTTGGAGCGTCAAAACGAATACTTAGATATCTCCAAAGAGCTTGCTCAGTATGCTAAGGAGGATGATAATATGCTAAGTATTAAATAAATTCAGCGATATTAATTAAATAAAATAAATGTGATGTGCGAGATTTGGATTTTTGGAAAGTTAAAATGCAAAA